GCATACTTACTACACATCAGATGTCATGCTGCATTTATGTCACATCCTGCATACCTACTACCACCAGATGTCATTTTGTTTGTACAGTCAAACCTGTCTATAGCGGCTACCCATGGGACTTCGAGATTTTGGCCTTTATAGACAGATGGCCTTTCTATACAGGTTCACTAATTTATTCATGAATATTAATTAGGCATTGAATATATGTATTAAAACAGATCTGGCAACCCCATATGACACACACTAACTATCACACTACTGTACACAGTATCCAAACACTTTATTACATGTACAAATAAAAAATGTTGATTTTTTATTCAATTTTGAATTGCATTATGTAAATTAAAATCATTTCACAAAAGTCGACCATTGCACAATAATGAGTAGTATTGACAATTAAATATTTGAAGATTTGTACAGTAAAGTTGATGTTCAGCAGCAGTTTTAGTCTCATATCCTACTAAAGAAATCACTCAGCTTGCTTTGTTTAGCTATTCTGAATTTGTGTGTTTCTTTTAATATTGATTGTGTCTCGTACACTAATAAATCGGAATGTCTCTGGGCTATAGCAAATTCTTTCAAGGAGAAGGGAGGGACAGTTCGCAGTACTTTATTAAGCCCTACAACGTTACGTATACGAAAAGAACACTTATCTATTGCAGTGATCTCCTTCCAGTTACGCGACAACTTGAAAGTTTCCTCCCCAATCACAACACCCTTAACATTGTTTTTTTCTTCAAAAATCGTCCTGACTTACCGCACTTGCGAAATGATTGATCCCTCAAAACACAACTTTGCGCAATCGAAATCTGGACAACTTCCATATTGTTGTACTGCTGCAACAATGGAAACATGTGAAATATGATTGGCGTTTTTGGCCAGCGAACTGAGGTCAATTTAACATTGTTAAAAGCATGTATCGAGGCAGTAGCGACCGGGGAAAAAAATGTTGAACGAATTTAGTTGGACAACGAGACGATACTGCACACATATTCCCTCACATTGATTGATACACAATAACAGAAACGACTCTACTTTTTGACCCGAGTTATCATAACCCGGGAAGAACAAATACGCACATGCGCAAGGCTAATTAGCATAATTTATTTGGATGGAAAAACAACAGTCATGGCCGTTGCATTGATTTTTTTCTGTTTGCTATCAGTTCCAGTTACTTGCGTATTTGTCGATATTTATAGGAGTTCAAGATGAATGAACATCGATACTAAATAACAAGTGAGTTGTTAGGTTTTTATGTTGATAATCAATTCGATCGGTTATTTACCGTCGGCATTCCAATTCACCCTGGCCACACAGGGACAAAACATTAATGACAGCATGTTTTTTATCAGGACACTTTCAAATTCTTAATTATGTTTTTGGCATTCCCAGACCACCGGTACTGTGTACTGGCCGTGGTAAACTGAATAAAACATAATTACCGAAGCCATCGGTTGAATGAAAGGTGTGAAAACGTGCTAACTTTGTGATCTTTGGAGCTGATTAGTTGGCTGAGGTTTAAGGCAGTACTCTGCAAGACATCCGGGAACTATGTCCGTTATATGCAGTGCAACTGATCACTGCGGCCGCTGAAGCTTGGCCATTGGCCGCGTTAGACAGGTGGCCGCTATAATACAGGGTACTTTACGTGTAAATTTTGTAGGTACTGTTCGGTTGTGACTGCTATAGACAGGCGGCCGCTGTATCCAGGTGGCCGTTAACACAGGTTTGACTGTATATAGAAAATGTATTTCACTACAAAGTTTTATTAAAATCTTGAACAGTGGAGTTTGAGATACCCACTGAAAAATGGCTAATTTATGTAAATTATTTAATTAATATGCTCATATTTTTAATCTTCAATGTGTATTCATGACAAAATATGTACTAATTTATTTTATTCAAATCTATAAAGTGGTTTAGATTTCAGAAAATTGCTTAATTTATGCAAATTGAGTAATTAAGCTAATTTGTTTGCAGTATGTTAAATTGAAATGTGTTGAACAGCTATATATTGGCTACTTG